TGTGTGTGTGTGTGTGTGTGTGTGTGTGTGTGTGTGTGTGTGTGTGTATGTATGTATGTATGTATGTAATCTCTCAGGTTGTGTTTTTATTTCCCACAGATGCATAATTTATCTCTATTTCACATCCCTTGTCTCCTTTGCATACACTGTTTCTGCCCTGTGACTACCTTCTCCAGAGGTGTTAAAAGTGATGAACCCCATCATTCCTCTGGGGGAGTCATTTCATCAATGATATTAAAAAAGGCAGACTGTTACAGGCCCAGCTGCTATGTTGTATGAAAGGGAATGCAGAAGAAGTGGAGGCATTACACTGCATGTTCAGGTAAAAATCAATCTAACAAACAATATCTGGGGGTTGGTTTGACTGGCTGCAAGAACATCATCTGTCCAAGAAAGATGGAGCCTCATCAGATGCAATAAAATGGCAAGAACCAAAGTAAAACATTGGTTTATTTATGTCGTGGAAGTGAAATTATTCAAAATAAAACAAGTTTGTTCAGGTAAAACAAATCTCACACTGAACAAATTTATGCATCGAAAATGAGTTCTTTATAATTGAAAATGAGCATAGTCTATATTTAAACTGCTCTAAATGAGTAAAGATGTACATGCATGCAATTTGTCTGAAGGTAATGTGAGTAAGCATAGCAATGACTCTGCAGCCAATCGGAGCAAATCTCCTGCAAAACGAAACAGAGGGAGACTGACAGCAGCCGTCAAAACAGTAGACAGCCATTACCTACTGGAACTAACACCCTGCGGCAGGAAGAACACATTGTGTGTATTTTTCTGGGTTTGTGCTGACCATTACCTCAGCATGTGAGCCCCTGGTGACAGATTTCACCACAATGGCCTTGTTTTTCTCCTCAATCTCAAAGCCATAGTCCTCCTCCTCAGGGTGAATCTAGCACAAAGAGGGAAAAAAACAAAACATACTTCAATTAGTAATGATCGTGTTCACGTTCATTTTGGATTCTTAAAAGCAAGCTTGGCTTCTTCCACAAGTAACCCTTAGGCTCCCACATACTCGGGTGTACTTCACTCCACAGAGGTCCACGCGTACCCGATTAGGACTCAACGCAGACTCGAAGCGGACGTCCGCGCAAAGATCAATTTTTATGACGGCGTACACATACAGTACTCGGTGTCGCACAATAAACTGCCCGGCGACAGACTGTTTTGTATGCAACACCAATGTATTAAATTTCCCTTTTTCATTCCTGATCTGGTTTAATGACCTTTTCTTTTGTTTTATTGCCAAGAGGCAAGCAATCTCTTCCTCCTTGTCCATTGACGCCATGACTGAAATTGTGAAAAATTAAGGAATTTTTCACGAGAGAATTAAAATCAGGCCCGGCGTGGCTGCAGGAGGGTCTGGAGATTTCCCGGTGGGCCGGTCTGATGCGTGGGCTGCAGGGCCAGCGCTCCCTGTTTTTTCATATAAACACAGAATACCTCTGCTGCTGATCCTGGGCTGACAGCTGCCTCTACCCAGGGCCACCAGCTCTCATTTTTTTTGTTTGTTTGTTTTTTTGAAACCTGTCAATCTATCCAGTTGGCGTGTCAGCAAATGACCAATCGGCGACCTCAATTTGACCCAAAGGTAAACGCCCCTTGCCTGCAGAGCTGGGCTGCAGCCCATCAGTGTGTATGCTCGAGTATGAAGTCTCAACCGTCTGCGGACAGTGCACGCAGTGTCTGCTCGGCTCACGGAGTACACACAGTACGCCCAAGTATGTGGGAGCCTTTAAGGTTTCATCTAAAAAAAGGTCAGGGTGGTCAACAATTTGCATATCAGAAATCCCTTTGCAGTTGGTGAACTTTGTTGCACGTCAAGTGCCGTGCACCTTATTGTGTTCACTGGTCCCCATATTCGATTTCCTTGTGGAGCAAGGCTTAGTAAAACATAATTACTGAACCCATTAGATGCTTGCATTAGTTATGCTACAGGGGCCATCTTCCTGCTGCACGGTCCTGATAAGATGGCAATCTCTTTCGTTATATCAGAAGAGATGACTGAGGTAAATAAAGAGTTCCTGCACTTCCAATTCAATAATGGGCAAGAAATGAGGGGGAGGAGGGGAAGTATGTTCCGCTAATCAGGGAGAACGCTTTTCCACTTCTTGAGGAAGGCCAGATAACACGCCTACTTCCCACTCAGACATAAAAAAGGATGCTAGTGATGCCTATTGGTTCCCATAAGATAATAAACAGTTCATTTTCAGTTTCCGCTTCTAGAACTAAAAAGTCTGCTCAATTCAGAACAACCTTAAGTCTAAACGTGTATACAGTAGTTAGCCATATACAAACTGTGCCTACTATAAATAGATTCCTTTGGTTTTATTGTACTAAAAATGTTAATATTTATTACTGATCAGCTGATGGTGACATTCCTCGAGTGACGAATGCAATGTTCAGATAACGATCAGCCTGCTTGAATGCTTGCAGGCAGCAGCGAATGAACTGGGTGTTTGAGTTCCTTTGTGAAAGAAACTTGCTCAAATACTTTTAATCCATCTTCTCTGAGAAAACTGCAGTAAAATTAAAGACCTAGCACTTCTTGAAATGCATATCTCCTCCCATCTTTCATGTCAGAGTTTTAGACTAAGATCATCTTGGGTTGAAAAGTAAAGGAGTAGTAGACGTTTGGGTCAAACCTTGAAAATATTGTGTGCAATCTTGTGCAAGACTGTGAGCTGTCATACTAAAAGTATGTGTTGCAAATAATCTTAGCTACTATCACACCAAATATTAGCTCGATGTTTGTACAACTAACTGAATTAAAGCCATTTTTGTAGTTTCTAACTTGAGTTAGAAAAATCAGTTTCTGCATTTTACAAGTCTACTGAATTCATCTTGACTGAAACTACGAACTTAAATCATGAGTTTCATCTCATTTTGACATCAATATCAGAACAGTGACATCATTGCACACACACACACACACACACACACACACACACACACATGCACGCATGCACGCACGCACACCAAGTATTTAGTTGAAAATTTGAGATATAAAACAGAACAAAAAGTATTGCCAACTGTGCATTTATAAGTAGAAAGAAGCTTGTTTCATTGTTTCACACAAAAATATGTGTGTGCGCACGTGTGTGTGTGTGTGTGTGTGTGTGCACGTGTTAGAAATAAAGCAGTCTAACACAGAGAATGAGCACATCTGTGTGCCACGTCTAATGTTCTTGAGATGAGTTCAGTTTTTTTATTTTTAGCAGCATCAGCATGAAGCTACTTTTCTCAGCAGAATGTGAGCATTCCTGTATCCGTGCGCTACATTGTGAGCGAGTGCACGTGGAAATGTAAATATGTAGGTTTCAGCTCACCACGAGGGACTTGGCTAAGATGTTTTCGATGAGCTTGAAGTCATTTCTCTGGAGCTGCTTGCTCTTGGTGCCGGTCCCCTCAGTTTCTTCATCAGCGTAGAAACGGAAGAACTGCGACTCATCTTTAAACTCACTCTTCTCCAGGACTAAAGGAAACAAAGACACACACACACCTGTGAGAACAGTGTAGCCGCAGAACACAACAAAGATTTAATCACACATAATAACATTTTCTATTAGTAATCTAAGGTGTGTTGTGGGCAGTGGCTCAGTGTGCAGAACCAAGAGGAGTATAATGAGAAGCCCGTGGTTAATCTGAACTGATAGAGTGATGATGTTAGTCAGAATATTTGAAGCCAAATTACATCTGGGTAAAAGTCAGTGACTGCCGAGGATGAGACGTCTCTGGAGGACACAATAAATATTCTGTTGTGGGTTTTACAGTCACTCTGTAGGTCCAAGTGTCACTAACACACGGGGCACCTCAGACAGCAGACAGCATATTATCAGTGCTTCCCTAATAACTAGGGGTGTAACAATACATTGATTTAAATCAATATATCGATTAAATGATTAATGATTCAATTATACTGTGACAAAACTAAAACATCGATTCATATTTTCATCTTTAAATATGCTTTTATTTTGAAATTCCCAAGGCACGTCTGTGTCACCATTTCCGTGCGCGGCGGCGCTCTGCGGCCGTCTCAGCAACATGGCAGACGAGGGAGAAAACACAAATAATGAAATTCACTCTTCTGCTGGATTTAAATCAACACTGTGGAAATATTTTAGATTCCGACAGAAAGACGACTCAACAGACAAAACTCATGTCGTATGCAACAGGTGTGAGTTCAAATACTCAGGAAACAACTAATTTGGCCGTTCACCTGAAGAAGAAACACGACATTGATAGCCATGTTATGCAAGTTCAATATCTATTTTTGTTTCTTTAAAACTGAAAGGTAATCGGGGCACTTTTAAGTTAAATGGTTTAAAAAATGCACTTAAATTTGAGAAATGTGAGACAATACTGAACAGGTCATTTATTTTTATTTTTTCATTAAGAAAGAAAGAAGTTTTTCTATTTATTTAAATGGCTGGTGCCTGTAATAACAAAAATAAAATGGTTAAATCATATTTGAATTGTTTTTGTAAATTATTTATATGTAAATGAGATGGGCATTTGATATCGCAATATATCAATAGCAGACTTTTGAATCAAATTGAATCAAAATCGTATCGTGACAGACTTTGGGATAAAGAAAAATCGTATCGTCATACAAACAAATCAATATAATATTGTATCGTGGTAAAGCTGGTGATTTACACCCCTACTAATAACAGTGTTTTTGAAGCCTAAAAAAATGCTAAGACAAAGCCTGAATAAGGTGTAGACTATCTATATATATATATATATTCAATTCTGTATGCAGCCCTTTGATTGCTTTAAACTTCTTGATGTGGCCCTTTGGAAAAAAAAAATGTTGCCCACCTCTGGTCTATAGCGTTAGCAAAATATCACTCGAGCCACAGCTAATCAACATTAGCCAACACAAAAATTATTAAAACTCAGCATTTTTTAACAGATAATGAGATAAGATTTGGTGTAGTAATAGCTGAGAGTAATTACTAACAAATACTCTATGGGTGACATCTCGTGGTGTCACACGTCATTGTGTATAACTTTATTTTCGAGGTTTGACCACAATGGGACACAACTTCATTATTTCTTAATACAAAAGGATTTGGGGCTGAAACCCTGGCATGAAAGGCAGGATAAGTATTCCTTCAAGGAATACTAAGCCACTAATTGTCAAAATGTGTTGACCAGTTGATCATTTTCTTGTTATGCTTTAAAAACGTTGAACAAAAGATGTTGAAATAACGTCCTTATTAACTTCTGGTTTAAGTTTTTTATCTGAAGCATGGGGAAAACAGCAACAGGTGCAAAATAATTTAAAAAATGACAAATGTACAAAACATGCACCTCGGCACATCCAGTCCACAGTTTACCAACGTCAACACAAATTACATAATGTTTGTAGCTGCATAAGAATGCTCTGTCCTAACACGTATGACTAAAACAAGAGTAAATCCATTAGGCGTGTGCGCAATAGATGAATAAAATTTGTGACGTGAAGCACAAACATTTGCAGATGTAACATGTAACTGAGTATGTTTCCTAATCCCCGATGAGTTTTATAGGTGTGGGACTCTTGTTAAGGCCACTGCAAATCAGGGCCTGTGTAGGCAAATCTGAGCACCACAGGTCCTCAGCTGTTCAGAGATTTGGAGAACATCTGCCACGCAAAGATGAACAAGAGCCTTCACAACTTTACTACACACCCACCACACCTCCCCTCACACTGGCCTCATGCCAACACAAACTATTTCTGAATGCCACTTATTTCCTCTGAGTCATGGAGGCTGTGGCCCTGTAAGACTTTAACACCACCTATTTAACCGAAGGGAGTGCTAATCTGGAAACTGTTAAAGCTCACTTTACATATTTATGGGCAATGCTAAATAATTTCTTGAATGCAAATAATACCCAAGTGTGAATATATTTTCTAAGGCAGATTCTTCTTTTGTTGTTGTGGTCAAATTTGTTTTTGCATCCTTATTATAAGCACAAGATACAGGACATGGAAGGCCTTTGAAGGTATTTGCCCTGAAATAAAATTATATATCTGAGTATCTTATAACGACAAAGGCAAAAGCAATGTTTTCTATGACTAAAATGCAAATATCAGCATATAAACTGACAAAGGACAATCTGCCCTACCTTGAGCAGTATTTTGAATTAAGTTTTCATATTTGTTAAAGCTGTGAATAGAGTTGTGCTGGAGGGAAATCTAAATCATTATTTACATTGCAAATGCCATTTTGGTTTTGAACTGATTAAACCCTGTCACATAACTGGGCTATTACAGGAAGTGCAACAATGTATCTGGTTTTGTACTTTGCAAACTGAACTGTCTGAACTTTCCTGACAGCACACAAAAAATACAAGTGAAACTAGAAAGTTCCTGGAGGAACTATGACGGGGACTGCCACATTGCAGCCATTTTAAAAGTTTGATTTGGCAGGGTTGGGGATTGATCTCAGCTACCACCATACCAAATTTTAGCTCAGTATGGCAAAACATCAATGTGTTATAGTCATTTTTTCTTTTAAGCTATGGCGGCCATCTTGATTTGGATTCAGTTTGTGATGGGGAACCTGAGCTATCGCCACACCAAATGTCCGCTCTATATGTGTAAAAATAATGGAGTTAAAGCCATTTAAATTTAGCTTGGTCAGCCATCTTGGTTTTTTTAAATTCAGTAGCTTTGCTCTCAGCTACCACTACACCAAATTTCAGCTTAATATCTAAAAATGGCTGATTTATAGTTTTTTTCCTATTTAGCTCAGACAGCCATTTTGGATTTTTGTTTTAAAACTAGTCTATTATGGATTGTTCTCTACCACTGCACCAAATTTCAGCTGAATAGCTCCAAAACCAGCAGAGTTATATCCGTTTGAAATTAGCTTTGGCAGCCATCTTGAATTTTTCAAATTAAATTCAGAATGTATTGTGCATCGCTGTCAGGTACCACCACACCAAAGTACAGCTTAATATATTTTACAATATCCGAGTTATTGTATTTTTTCCTCTTTTAACCAAGGTGGCCATCTTGGATCTTTAATTTGCATTAGGGATATATAGTAACTTGTTCTCAGCTACGACCATAACAATTTTCAGCTCAATATCTCAAATAATTATTATTATTATTAACCTTTATTTAACCAGGCAAATCCCATTGAGATCACAGATCTCTTTTGCAAGGGAGGCCTGGGCCTGATGGCAGCCTGACATGACTGTTTTTGTGTTGTTGGTTTTTTTTTTTTGGTCTGTGTGAGGAAACCGGAGTACCCAGAGAAAACCCACGCAAGCACGAGAAGAACATGCAAACTCCACCCAAAAAGACCCCAGGTCCTATTGGGGATTGAACCCAGAACCTTCTTGCTGTGAGGCAACAGTGCTAACCACTGAGCCAAATGGATGACTGAATGACTGAGTTATAGTCAAATTAGTGTTTGCTGAAGTAGCTGTGGCCATCTTGAACCAAAATGGATCCAAAAGTTAATCAGTGTTTTGTTCAGAGACCTCTTCATTCTGTGACCTCACTGTGGCAGTCAGAAGATGTTAAAGAGTTCTGTCAGTGTTTTTCAATGAGACAAACGGCGTCTTTGCAAATTACGTTGCTATGGTAACTCAAAACGCCAATAAAAGTAACAGCGCACATCACGGTGCCGAGGCGGTCGCTTTAATATAAATTTGTGGAGGTACACGTTGCGGTTTGGGCTGCACTAAAGTTGAAAGAAGAGCAAGACCCTGGAAGTCCTCAAAGAGTAAATGCAAGCAAGAAGAAAACAAAAAGATGAAAAAAAGTGCTGAGGATCAGATGTGCTGATTAACGTTTTAAGAAAGTGACTTGGGCCGAGGTGAGAAGTGCAGACAGGTTGAGAAGACAGAGGTCATCACCTTGAATGAGGCCAGGAACAAAGGGAGAGCAGGTGACTGCTCCAAACAGATGGTAGAGCATAAGTTGTGTTAAAGTCCATGTGAAGGAAATATTTAATAATTATTGTGTTATATTGTGCATTACAGTAAAAGTATAACATGACATGCTTCCGGAGATAATTTATAAGCCTTTAAATGAGTTGGATTTACACTTTACACACCAAGCACATCAGTAGATTCATCTGCCATGTCAGTAAAAACACACTTTATTAGTGTGACTTGTCTGAAAATAAAAATAAAAAAAACAGCAGGACTGCATATTTGTGGCATGAAAGGATCCCAAAGTGGTGTCAAGTTATTAAAATAAAATAAAAAATGGGGTAATTAAAGGCCTAGAATTCTTTGAAGTAATGTGTATCACATGATATCTTTATTACACGTTTCTAACAGAATGTTGGTCATGCATGTGCAAATATTAAAGGCTGAGAAGGGTACGAAGCGAAATGACCTTATGCATTATCTCGTGCGTTATTATGAAACTTCACAGTATCAGCACTCAGAGTATATCATAGAGCTCGCATCTGCTCAATATCTGCAAAATAGCTGGAGTTCTAACCATTATTTTGTTGGTTAGATATGAGTGATAATGTGTATCATAACATTATGATAATGAGATAATCTAATAATATTAGATAACCATCTTGAACTGGGTTGACTCCAAATGTTAATCTATTGTATATGTACAGGTAGTGATTAAATTGAGTGTTTCACTAAAACCCATCCAGTGGTTCAAGGGATATTTTACTAACAAACAATGACAAAGTTTTGAGTAAAAATATTGCACAATGTGTAGTGCTCAAAGTCTGAATCTCAGCTACTATCGCACTAAGGTTTAGGTCAATAAATGTAAAATTGTTTAAGTTACATACATTTTTGTCTTTGTAAGGTCTGCTGGCTGTGGCAGCCATCTTGAATTGGAATGACTTTAAAAGTTTGGCTAAATAATAAAGGAATAAAGATGTCACAGCTTCACTTATACAGCCTGCATATGAAAAACATTGTGTTGTCACTGTATTCCTTCTAAAATAATTAAACACAAAGTCTATCAAGGGCTTCTCACGTTATACCTAAAACACTGAGACTAGACCGAGGACACGGTTGATTCAATTACAGGTCTTAACCAGCGGATATGGTTCAGTGGACTGACACAGACAGCAGTGTAGAAAAGCCAAACAACTCCCGTTAGGGTACACTGCTAAGGCTGTTTGCATTCAACATTCTGGGCTGGAACCATAATCTGCTCCACTACAACGTGGTCAGCGAGGTTAAAGAAGTTAGACTGGGTATGCAAATTTACATTTATTGGGTTTTTTCTCCCCCCCCC